CAACTGATCTTTAGACTACAGAGATCTGTTCACCTGGAGAAAATGGCACTTTTGGGGGGCAGACTCTATGGTATTATACACACTACTGAGGTCCCTCCTTGCTCCAAACCCTGACCTCCCTAGGCTCCACCCCCCAAAATCTCCAGGAATTTCCCGATCCTACAAAGAGGGTTTTGTGCCTGGAAAGAGTACAACGTTGTGTGGAGGTTCCCCTCCCAAAATGGGCAAACCGTGTTCCCCCAGGAGGAATATCCTTGTGCGGAAGCAGCGTGTAATAACATCCAGTTGTAGTATGTTGTTCTGTTCCTAGAATAGTTGACATGGCACTCTTCTGGGCTGTAACCTCCAGTCCTCCTGAAAAGAAGTTGCGTATCATCCAGACTGACTTAGCCAATGCAAGAGGCAAAATCAGCAATTGCCCGTTCATGTGTGGTGTCTCCCACCTCATGGAACAGCCTTCCTTTAGGAGGTCAGGAAGTAGATAAGAACATAAGAGAAGCCATGTTGGATCAGGCCAATGGCCCATCCAGTCCAACACTCTTCTGTGTCACACGGCGGCCAAAACCCAGATGCCATCAGGAGGTCAGTGGGGCTAGAACTCCATAATCCTTCCCACTGTGGCACCAAGAATACAGAGCATCACTTCCCCAGACATGGTGTTCCATACCTCCCTTGTGGCTAACAGCCACTGATGGACCTCTGCTCCATATGTTTATTCAATCCCGTCTTGAAGCTCTGCTTATAGCTGCCACCATTTCTTGTGGCAGTGAATTCCACGTGTTAATTACTCTTTGGTTGAAGTAGTACTTCCTTTTATCTTTTCTAAGCCTTCTGTTCATTAATTTAATTGAGTGCCCACAAGTTCTTGTATTGTGAGAAAGGGAGAAAAGTACTTCTCTATCTTCTCTATCCCATGCATAATTTTGTAAACCACTATCATCCAGTGTTCCCTCTAAGCTGAGTTAGTGTGAGCTAGCTCACCATTTTTTAGCATCCAGCTCACAGATTTTTGTCTTAGCTCAGGAAGGATGGGCTCCAGAGCAAACTGATTTATGCAGCTGCCAAATTGCTCGCTCACAACTTTAATACCGGTAGCTCACAAAGTAGAATGTCTGCTCACAAGACTCCACAGCTTAGAAGAGGGAACATTGCATGTCACCCCTCAATTGTCATTTCTCCTAGCTAAAGAACCCTAACCTCTTTAACCTAGGGAAGGCGTTCCATCCCCTTAATCATTGTAGCTCCCCTTTGCTGTACCTTTTCCAATGCTATAATATCTTTTTTGAGGTACGGTGACCAAAACTCTACACAGTATTCCAAATGAGGCCTCACCATAGATTTATACAGGGGCATTTATGATACTGGCTGATTTGTTTTCAGTCCCCTTCCTAACAATCCTCAGCATAGTATTTGACTTTTTTATTGTAGTCACACATCTTCAGTAAGTTATCTACCACCACTCTAAGATCTCTCTCTTGGTCGGTTACTGCCAATTCAGACCCCATCAACGTATATCTATATTTAGGATTTTTTGCACTTTGCACTTGCCCAGGTTGAACCTCATTTGCCACGTTCACGCCCACATGCCCAACCTCGACAGATCCCTCTGGAGTGCCTCATACTCCTCCCTTCTTCTCACCACCTGGAACAACTTAGTGTCATCTGCAAATTTAGCCACTTCACTGCTATATGATAATGGAATGGTTCAGGAAGGCACTTTTAGAAGGGGTGCTGTTGACTGTATCATTGTGCATAATAGTATTATCTGATTGTTGTATGTATTATCCTGCTTTCACTGCATTGTCTTCTACATATGAAATATGATTTCTTCTTGGATTACACATATCATGTCTAATACTTTATGCTTTGTTTCAGACTGCTGGAATCCTAGTCCCGTTACATTACTCATCAGAGGTCTCCTCCTACAGATTGTATTGATTTATCCTGTGTCTATATAGGAGTAAAACACTACGGTTTGGAGCACTGGGGACAAAGCTGGAAATAAGAATGTACTTTCCTTTTCTGAAATGATGTTTGGGATTTTTTCTGGGTACCTTCTGTACAGTCCCAGTTAGACAGTTTCTGTCCCCCAGTTGCGATGCTGGCAGAAAGTGTCTTAATTGGCATTGCATACCAAGATGAAGTATGCAAATCCCACAAATGCCAGGGACTGAAAGGAGCTGGAGAAAGTGACTGGCAAAACCAGCTGATGGATGCAAATAGCAACGTCCGTATCAGATCTGAGAAGCACATGGCTAAGAAGCATCAGGAGACCTGTGGAATGGCCATTGAGAAAGAAATTCCCCCGGGGAGTTCTGCACAAAAGTCCCCTGCAGAAGGATATGGCGAACATCCTCTTTTGGCTTCTCAGTCAGCCCCTCTGTGTATACCCAGAAAGGAGCCACCCTGCGAAAAAGAGTTGGATCTGTATAGGTCTTGGTCGAATCAAAGTCTTTATCAGCAGTATCCCGATCTGTATATTGGAGGAGATCACATTGCTGACCATATGTGCGATTCGGGTTGCATCATGGACCAAACTGATGACGAACCACCCGTTGGCCCCGTCTTGTTCTCGGAAGACATCCCACCGGGCCAGTCGCCTCTCACGGAGCCTTCGCACAAAGGCAAGGCTGTAAAACTGTGGGCTGGCGACGAAGTCGGGGAGCGGAGCATAACTCTCCACAGGCAGCCCCTTTCCAACTCCGTGATCAACAACTACATGGAAAAAAAGTTTCAGGAACTCTATAAACAGTTTCTGGATGAGAAGCTGACCAGGTGCGATTCCATCACGCACGACCTGCTGAGTCACATTGGTGAGGCGAATTATCAGCTACCCTGTGAACAACATGGGGAAGCAACAAATGCCAGAAAAACTCTCGTCCGCTCTCTAGGTCTGCTCGGCTTGCAAGACCCCAGCCACGGGAACAGCTGTGAATTCAGCACTCCTAATCTACAAATCTCTGGACTGCCTTGAAAAATGGTTCCCTCTGCGATACAGCAGACACCAGGACTGAAATACTGGCTCATAAAAAGACTACAATGAGTCAGTGCTTGATGTAATGGCTAGAGCAAGGGTCCCCAACCTTTTCGAGCCACTGAACATCTTTAGAAATCTGACACAGAGTGGTGGGCGCAACCACAAAATGCCTGTAGCAGGAGGTGGAGCGAATCACAAAATGTCCGGGAGTGAGGTTGTGCATAACTCTGACTGTAGCTACCAGTGGTGCAGTGGTTAGGAGCACAGACTCTAATCTAGGAGAACTGGGTTTGAGTCCCCACTCCTCCACATGCAGATGCTGATGTGACCTTGGGCAAGCCACAGTTCTCTCAAGAGCAGTCCTTGAAAGAGCTCTGTCAGCCCCACCTACCTCACAGGGTGTCCGTTGTGGGGAGGGGAAGGGAAAGGAGATTGTAAGCCACTCTGGGACTCCTTTGGGTAGTGAAGGCCGGGGTATAAATCCAGCCCCCTCCTCCTCTTCTCCTTCTCCTCCTCCTCCTTCCTCCTCCTTAGCATTTCAGGCAGAAACTGGTTACCAGGATGCTTTTTAAGACAAATGTATTGTTTAAAAAATATTCTATATGCACAAATATGCCTCTTGAGCTAACAAAGACTCTAGCAGTATCTGTGAGATCTCCAATGGCCAATCAGAAGCTCTGCTGGCACCACCTGGTCACACCTACTTTCGAAAATCACTTTGCAGGCACTGAGAAAGGTGTCAGTGAACGCCGTGGCACCCACGGTCATCATACTGGTGGCCCCCGGGTTAGAGTGTCAGACCAGGCCCTGAGAGACCTGGTTTCAAGTCTCTGTTCAACCATGGAACTCATTGAGTGGCCATGGGCCAGCCTCTGTCTCTCAGCTTAGCCTACCTTGCAGGAATGTATTGAGGACGCAATGGTGGGAGAGTACATTAGGCACATTATCCTGTAGTGCCTTTCATGAAAGGTGGGGTAAATATCTGTTAGATTTTGTTTGGACATGATGTTCATTTGCCTTGAAGGTGGTGGAGGCCTTTCAGCAAAACCAGTGATGGATTAATGGCTACCCTTCCAATATATGGCTACCCTTCCAATATATGGAGGGAACGATCTAAGCCATTGTAACCTGGTCACGCAAAATCTGTTTCTGATCTGTACAGATATTAAGTTGCTACTAGTGATTTCAGGCTGAAAGCATTAAAACTCTGCTTAGGCTACAAAAGGGGTTTTTTGGGGGGGAGGGGAGGTCATACAAAGTTTTGGCAATAGTAAACATCTGAGCTGTAACATTATATTATCCAATGGAAATAGTTGCGCAACGCAAACCAGATGAATTTTCACAAGAGGGATTGAATCCAACATTGGGGGGGGGGATGTAGGTGGAGGGAAATAGCCGCTATTGCTCTCCTGCAGACTTTTGCAAGCTGTCTGACAAGGTCCAGGGGGAAGCAGAACATCGCCTTCAGATCAAGTTTCATTTTTCTCATGCAACGGTCTGGCATGAGGTGTAGGAACCAGCCCTTCTGGGAGCAGAAGGTACTTTCCAAAGGCAGACGGGGCCCCTGGCAGCCAGCCCAACACCTCCTGTTTGTGAATTATTTCTAGTGCCTTCTGCTCCTTCAAGGGAAACGACCTGTGGGTGTCGTGGTCGTTTGCAAGCGTCTGGTGATTGTGATGAAAAACCTCCTGCTGACAACAACGTTAGCCTCGATGGGTGTTTGCAGCATTGGGCTTCCCCAAGTTAGGATGCTTTTGCACATGTAATCCATCCTGTCCAAAAACCTAGTCGACGTTAGCCTCGATGGGTGTTTGCAATATTGGGCTTTCCCAAGTTAGGACGCTTTTGCAAATGTAATCCATCCTGTCCAAAAACCTAGTATTAGTAAAGCACTCGTTGATCAGAATGCCTGCTTTCTGGATTCATTGATAGGGCAGGCGCACATACACTCACTCCCTACCATGGTGATGGTGGAAAGTGCCATCCAGCTGCAGCCTACTTATGGTGACTCTACATGGGGCTTTTGAGGCAAGAGATGCTCAGAGGTGGTTTGCCATGGCCTGCCTCTGTGTAGCGAGCAATGCTCCCTCTAAGCCGTGGAGTCCTGTGAGCAAAAATTCTACTTTGCGAGCTACTGGCATCAAAGTTGTGAGCCGGCGATTTGGCTGCTACATGAATTAGTTTGCTCTGGAGCCCTCCTTCCTGAGCGAAGACAAAAATGTGTGAGCCGGAGGCTGAGAAACTGTGAGGTAGCTCACACTAACTCAGCTTAGAGGGAACACTGGTAGCGACTCCTGTGCTTCCCCCACGGTCTCCCATCCAAGTACTGCTCAGAGCGACTTCGGGTGGCAAGGAAACAGTTTCGACCAAGGGGAAAATACTGCTCAGAGCAATGTTTCCGCCAAGCTCCACAGTGTTGTGATCAAAAATTCTAACTCCTGAATGAAAAAAGCTGGTATCGTTAAAAGTTGTGAGCAAGTCTACACTTGGCTGTTGCATAAATTATTAAAACATTGCAAGAGAAAACAGAATCAAGTCAAATTTTATTACAAAATTTTTTTGTCCTCTGCAGAGGTAGACCAGGCATTCAGAGAGCCGGTCTTCTTGCCCCTTTCCACTATATTGGTAGACCTGGCCTCCGGAGAACAGGTCTACCTGCCCCAGTCAACTATATTGGTAACCTGGCCTCCGGAACCCGCCCCAGTCCACTGTATTGGTAGACCTGCCCTCTGGAGAACAGATCTACCTGCACCCTTCTGCTATATTGTTAGCCCTGGCCTCAGATAGCAGGTCTACCCGCCCCAGTCCACTGTATTGGTAGACCTGCCCTCTGGAGAACAGATCTACCTGCACCCTTCTGCTATATTGGTAGACCTGGCCTCAGATAGCAGGTCTACCTGTCCCAGTCCACTATATTGATAGACCTGGCCTCTGGGGAACAGTTCTACCTGTACCTTTCCACTATATTGGTAGACCTAACCTCAGATAGCAGGTCTACCCGCCCCAGTCCACTGTATTGGTAGACCTGCCCTCTGGAGAACAGATCTACCTGCTTGAGTCCACTATATTGGTAGACCTGGGCTTGGACCATCGCCTTGCACTGACCCTTAGAAAACACACCAGCACTTAGGGGAGAAAAAACTCTTGCAGTCTACTTTGAATTTTTAGTGAAATATGACAACCAGCATTACAGGTCAAGTATAACAGAGGTGTAACAATCACTGTCGGAACCCTGCCTAACCAAACAAGCAGGAAGTTGCTTAAATGTTACCAACCTGCCCAAACTACTTATTTATTCAGATATTGGTATCCCACTTTTCCCTATGACTCAAGGCAGTTTGCAAATCATACTGAAAAGCATAATAGGGGTGGGCAAAAAAATTGGTGATTCTGGCTCAATTATAGCCCATGGGGTCCATTATAGTCAATGAGCCCCATAGGTTATAATGGAGAATTGATCTGGGGGTAACTGGGACTCTGGGGGGGGGGGTTGTTTTTGAGGTAGAGAGACCAAATTTGCAGCATAGCTGCTGGTGCCTCTCCTCAACCCCCCTCCCAAGTTTCAAAAAGATTGGACCAGGGGTTCCAATTCTATGGGCTCCAGAAGGAGGTACCCCCATCCTTCATTGTTTCCTAGGGAAGGAAAAAAATGTTGAGTTGAAGCTAAAATGCTCTGAGCAGCCCTCTGAAATGTTGTGCGCCAGCGCCCCCTAGCACAGCTTAGAGGAACTGTGGCTCAGAGCTGCCCCTGCTTAGCTTCCGAGATCTGAGGAGAGATCTGGCTGGCCTGGGACATCCAGTTCAGGGTTTCCCTAGAATATCTACCTAAATTTTATAGTTCAGTTTATTCCATATGTTCTTCTGTTGAAGGAAGCGTCATCACAAAGGATTTGCACTGGAAAATTACATTCTCAGGATGGAGTGGAATGGAATTATGTTCTCAGGTTTGGCTTGGATCCAGGAGGATGGTACTTTCTGGTTTTCTGTGTCCTGCCGCAGCCCGAAATGGGGACCCTCAGATAGCCAGGGGCCTAGAGCAGGAGGGAGGAATTGGCAACCATCACCTCCCTGGTGCTAGCAGGATCCAGCCCCTTGACTCTAAAGGCCAAACTGCATGGTATGTTGGTAGGGTTCCCCAGGGGTCATTTCCTGCAGGAGCGCACAGGAGCGGAGCTCCGGCAGTAAAGAGCCCAGGGGGTGGGCACATGCAACAAGCCCCGCCCCCTGCTCCCAGCAGCCCTCAATCAGAGCAAGAAGCAGCCGGGTAAGCTGCAGAGCCCCTTTAAGACCAAGTTTTATTCAGGTACAAGCTCTCCCTCCTCTGTGAGGACAGATCTGCACATTCCCCCCCTCCCAATAGCTAGCAATCCAAAACAGTCCAGTGGAGCCTGAGCAGTGGGGGTGTTGCTTTCTGACACACTTCCGGTGAGGTCAGGGGGTGTGGCATATGCAAATAAGTTATGCTAATGAGTTATGCTAATGAGCTCCTGCACCTCTTTTTCTACAAAATGACCCCTGGCCCGGTTCCCAGCTCTGAATTGGGAAATACCTGGAGATTCTGGGGGTGGAGCCCGGAGAGGGTGGGGTTTGAGGAGGGGAGGGGCCCCAGCATGGTATGTCATATTGCCCACCCTACAAAGCAACCATATTCTCCGGGGGACCTGACATCTGTTGTCTAGAGATCAGTTGTAAAAGTGGGAGGTCTCCAGGCTCCACCTGGAGGCTGGCAACCCTGTATGTCGGCATTCTTTGCTTGGAACTCCGGAAGTGTTCTTTGTCCCTAAAAAGTGGCTGAGAAGGCGAAGGTTTTCAGGATCGGGGCCATGATGCTGGGAAAGGGAGGGCTTCTGCTCCTTCCCCCCCAATGCCTCCCTACTGCTTTAAACCCTGGTTGGGCAAAATGACCGCATTCACTTCCTCCAGCCTAAGGGGGCTCCCTCTGAGTTATGTGTCCTAGGGTTGCCAACCTCCAGGCGCTAAAAATCAGAGATCACGGG